ATTTGTTGTTGTGGTGTTGATTGATGATGATGATGGTGATGATGATGATGATGATGATGAACATCACGTATAAGTTCATTACCAGATATTTTATTTAATAATTGTGATAGAGATGTACGAAATACCCATGGATCATCTGAACTTGTAATCGTTGTTACAGCTATGAAAACAAAAACAATAAAAATAAAAAAATTTCAAAATTATTTATACTATTATTATGCAATGAATGAATTGAATGTAAGGAAGGATTAGATTTTCTTGATGATTGTCGAGAATTTCCAGGTGAATCATGATGTTGATCATGTGAATTACCTCGACGTATAAGACTTTCATTTCCAGTATGACATATGCCTATATATATTATTAATTAATATATTTTAAAAACTAATTTGAATAGTTTGAAACGAACCTGCTCGAGTTTTTGAATCATTAATAGCATCATCAGTAAATTTTTTTTGTCGAAAAAGTTTTTCAGGTAAAAATGAAAAACTTGATGCTATTGGTGAAGAATTTATTATTGTTGATGGTGTTGTTGTTGTTATTGGTGGTGATGTTACTGTTGCAGATGGAAGAATACCAATAGCTGATGTTGAATCAATTGGTATTATTAATGAAGGTTTTTTAATAAATGATAAAAATAAATGTCGACATAAATCTTCTGGTATATCAGAATTATCAACAAGTACATCAAGAAATTGTCGAAAACCTTTATAATCAAGTTGCTAATAGAAGAAAAATTCTATATATATATATATTAAAAATATCAAATAAAATAACCTCATCATATTTATGAGCTAACCAAGTTGGATCTGTTTCAAGAATAGCAACAACATCTTTAACTTTCTTGGGAGCATCTGAATAATAATTAAACAATTATTATCATCAAAATAATTAAAATATTGATTAACTTACATGATATATAATCTTGTAGACGTTGAAATTCGTCCGGTGAAAGCTTATTCCAATCAAATCGATTCATGGATGACAATCATCGGCGGGCAAATTTGTTTCATGGCTCGCTCGATTATAAACTATTTGAGAGACTGAATACTATATTTCGTCGAAAGAATATTTATTTTTTCTCATTCAAGTCATCTAAACAAAAAACAAACGTACGAAAAGAAAAAGTCGATAACTTATATAACTAATTATGGCGTTCGAACAATGTTTTTTTTTTTTTTGAGATCGCCTTTCAATTTAATGCATCTGGTGCTCTGCTCATCCCTCTCTCTCTCTCTCTCTCTTATGTTTTTTGCTATTACTGACTGGTGTCGTCAAATACTAATTTGACGCTCTACATCATCCTGTATGACAAGATTCCCGTTGAGAGTCACAGAGCACACAACGATAAGACGGAAGGAAGGAAAAAGAGAGAGAAAAAAAAATGTAGAAGAAAAATATAGTCCAAAAGAAGAGTAGAGTTTATCCCAAAGGAGTAGCTCTGACACTTGTTTGTTATGTCCTGCATTTGGCCACATTAACTTGAAATGGCAAACGTTAGTTATATGTTATTTCTCCATAAATTTCATCTGGGAGTCATCAGATTACTTCATTTTGATGGCATCAAATCTTATCAATATCTTAGTATCGTCATCTAATAATAAGTTGTCGTCTAATGGGGGGTCACAATTTATTTATGTTGATAATCGAATAAAGAAAAGTAAAAAAAAAAAAAAACTACAAATCATTAGAGGTTTTTCCTACTACTAACTAAACATTTCCAAATGTAACGCCTAATGATTACCAACAATGAAATATTATGTCAATAAATTGTCAAATATTTTAATCGATCAAGAGATATAATGGGAACAAAAAAAAAAAAAAAACTTTTCTCTCTATTGTCTCGTCTTTTTTTTTTTGTTTTCTTATATATATATATATGTCTGTTTCTCTTCACACACATATATTTCCTCATCAGTTATTTATTGCTTGAAAGGCAACAGTTTAATTAGGGGACACTCGGCGTGTAAGAGAATAAAAAAAAAAAAAAAGAGAGGCAAAAACTGTTGTTTGCAAAAGAACTATCTACGAATATTGATTTAGTCGTATAATGAAACACTCACCGTATATATATATATATATATATATTTATGCAACTAGTTTTCTGCTCATAATTCATTTCAATAACTTCTCCTCATTTTTTTTTGAATCTCATTTGCATCTGTTAGTTCTGCTTCTACTATTATTATTATTATTATTACCATCACTAGTTCTTTTGCGCACCATGCTAGTACTATCACATCGATATTCTATTAGTGTTCCATTGACAGTTACATACATGCGCACATATATATATATATATGAGAAAAAAGAACATAGTCATTCATTCATTTAATTTCGAATAGACCAAAAATTTACAAGCCAGACATTTTTTTAATTTCCGCCTGTTCTTCATCTTTCATTAGCTCGAATCACAAAATTGTCTGCACCTGTTTTTTAGTCTCTCTATGTTGATCTATGTGTGCAATCATTTAAGAAGAGAATAACTAAAAAAAAAAAGAACAAGAAGAAAAACAATAATGAACTACCTGAATATATATATATATATGTAATTAAATATTGTCGTTGAGTTTTGATCTATATATGATTAAGTTTGTGTATTTTATCTTTTTCTCTTTATTTTTTTCGCTCATGCGTACCAATGTGTATGTATAGAGGGAAAAGAGTGACACAACTCGAGTTCGATAATCACGATAATAATGAGAGATGCTGCTTGGGGCTGAAGAAGAACAGCCCGGTTAGAAGTTGGCTGGATCAAGAGGAAAATGTACCGTGTTCTTCTTTTTCTTCATTCCTTTTACTTGCCGCATTTTTTTTTTTGTGTTCTACTCTCTATCTAACGCACATATATGAAGAGAACTTCGACTTTCTCTGCCGTCGTCGTTGATGTTGTTACTGTGAGTTTTTCCATCATTTCTTTACCGCTATTAAAGAAGAACAGAAACGAAAGAGAGACAGATAGACAGACACAGCAAAGAAGCGTTTCTCTTCTCTTGCTCTCTCTCTCTCTCCTTCTCTTCCTTTTTTTTCCGTTATAATGTTGGTTGTGTGATCTTGATGACGGTTGCAACGACAGCAGCAATGTTAGTAGTAGTGTGATGATGTTAATAGTAGTACTCCTCCACATGGATAAATACCAAAAATGTTTCCTCTTGGGAAAATATTCTCATTGACCTTAAACTATTGTCTTTTATTAGGAGGATTCGAACGAATAGAATTATGTTTTTCTTTTTTTTTTTTTTTTTTTTTTTTTGACTCGTTGATTATTCTGACAATAAATTGGCTATTAAACACAGAAGTTTGTAATAAAAAAAATCTGATGCCTGCGCATCCCAAAGGCATAAATCATTACAATCAAATACAGATAGAAAAATTGACTGATCATTTCTTTTTGTATGACTCTCTTTTTTTCTTGTAAGCCTAACTTATTGTTAGTCAAAACACGAATGAATAATCTATATCAATGAGTATTTAAACTAATAAAGACAGCCATATAAATGTTAATTTCTATTTAAATATAGAATGAACATGTTTAAGTGGACCAAAACAGTTCAGGAAATGACATTTTCTCGCTTAAACAATATCAAATACATATATAACTATATCATATATATTACTTATAAAGATTAATTTCTAACTTTCTTTTTTGTATTTCGTGCGGAAAAGTGTTTAGATGTCATAAACGGATTTTTCATTTTTTGAATAAAAAAGAAAGTTGTTAAAACGACAAAATATCGTTTCCTGAACTGTCTATGAAGAAAACAAAAGGAAGTCAAAGAAAAATGAGAAAATCTAGAGAAAAACAATATGAAATATACTAAACTTAATCCTTAAATATTATGTTTAATGTAGTAGAGATAAGCTGATTGTGTCTTCTTTTTTTATTTTTCTCTTATTTTTCAATAGATGTTTTCTTGTCACTTGAGTCGAATAGAATTACTTGCCCTGTCCAATTGAAGATAATAATTTTTTTAGTATACAGTTGACAGAAATCGTAGAAAAAAAAAAGAAGGAAATCATCAATCATTATTAATTTACTTGAGATCTTAAGCGCCGCATGTTCGTATATATATATATACTTATTCATTGTTATTACTATACAGATTGACTAGTAGCAATGATTATTTTATTCGATCAATTCAATTTGCGTGCAACTATCGTCGTCTTTCTCTCAAAACTGATTTCCGCCTTGAGCTATTCAAAAACAATAACAACAACAAAATAAGAGTTCAATCGTAATAGACTAAATAGATGGAATACATAAAAGGAGAGGGTGATATTTGAGATAGTAGTCCATTATCTAATTTTCTGCTTCATTCACCATCGATTGACTAGTATATATGCAAACGCATGGACTAACACTAATCTGTTTTTTTTTCTTTTCAACAGTTCAATTGATAGAACAAGAAAGAGGAAGAATGATAAGATAGGCCTATTTCCAGTTTAGATAAATAACTATTTGCCGACAAAGAGAAGAATAGTTTTCACCAAATGTACCAAAAAAAAAAAAATCTAGATATGCTTAAGATATTCTCATTAAATATAAATGGTTACATTGCATTAGCCTTGACAGGAACATATACACAAAATAGTTAGATTCTATAAACACGATTATATTTATTCGAATATGAAAAAAACAAAAATTCTTTTTTTTTCCTCGTATAATAAATATGCATCAACAAAAAGAAGAACAAATTAGACACATTCTGATCATAAGAAGAAAAAAAAAGAACGATATGCATATACATATGTGGGTGTAAGTCAACAGATATCACCCGAGATAAGAATCGAATTACATATATATAAACAATTAACACAATAAGATTAATAATAGGCACGTATGTGATATAAATAATGATAATCTGACAAAAATAAGATTAGTTTTAATTAATAAGTTAAGTTTTGTCACTAAGAACAAATATTCTATTTTTATTTGGTCACTCAAAGTAAATATGTTCATCAAGTATACGATTAGTTCTTTCTGTTTAAAAACAATATAATTAAATATTTAACATGTTAATCGATTCATCAAGTTCAATGTCATACCAAATACCTGTTTTAATAGAAATTTCTTTAATAAAACGAATAGTACCTGATTTATTATATATAGAATGATCGATGTTGACAATCACATGTGAACCAATTATATAATCTTCACTGTTATTATTGATTCTTGGTATTGATAATAATTCACTAGATGAGCTATATAATATAATATGTTTTTGTTCAAGTATAATTTGATTTTCTTGTTGATTATTATCATCTAAATCGATAGTATGTTTTTTTTTCAAAAGTTGATGTTTGTATAGGTTGTAATTGTTCTTCTTCAATAAATAATGGACATGAGATCATATTTAGTGTTGAACTATTTAACTGTGATCGACTTCATGATAATATTGGCTCATTAGGCATATTTATTAAATGATTAACATTATTTTCTTGTCAATAATTTGCTGGTGCACAAAGTACATTCTGTAGAAATAGAATTATTAGAAAATTAATAAATATAATTGTTGAGCTATCTATGATCGATTCTCATTTATCAATAAACAATATCTATTATGTTTCACATTTGAATACTAGTGGGACTTAGCTAAAAGCTTTTCTTTTTGTATTACAATTATTTAGCATTTTTATATTAATATTAGATTAGAATTATTTTTTTGATACTAAGATATACAAAAATCATGTCAAAACTACTATTATAAATTCATGCATTTGACTCACGAGAGGATTTCTTATACTGTCAACGAATTATTGAACTGAAACAATGATCAATGAGTGAATCATTTAGATTAAATTTTAGTATGGATTCAGCTTAGGAGTAAAAGCAAGATTAGAGTGAACAAATATGATAAGAAAGATAAAAAAAAGAAAAGGACGACCAAAAACAATTAGTGCAATCTCTGCAGGATTAAAATATAAAATACGATGTAGCCGCTGTTGTTAAACACAGGGAGATTGTTTTATTCTATATAGCTTGGGACACATTTCTTCGTCCTGTGGAAATACAATAAGGAATTTTTAGCGATGGTCTGTCGTGATTTGTCAAGGCAGGATTAGATGAATCTCTTATATTTCGACAGTTCGTCGCGGTCGGATTTCACAAATACATTATAATAAAGAAAATATAGATCTTTTGCACACTCGGGAAAGTTCTTAAGTGTCCTTTTCTGGCCAACATCCTTCTGTTTTACTAATTGTTATAGGAAAACGTTTACGTAAAAACTGATTGAGAAATCAATATTAATAATTTTAACAATCAAACGTTGTGGCTGATTTATTTATGTCAACAGGATTGAGGCTTCGAATAGTAATTAAACGATATATTTCCATCGTTGGTGGTGAATTTCAAGAAACTGCAGTGTGTATCAGACCAAAGTGTACTAATCTTAATGTCTTTTTCTTTCATTTTCGACGCGTAAAAACAATTTTTTTCTATACCAAACGATAGAAAATTTCAAACTGTACAAAAATTGTCGTCGAACTTTATCTTTCAAACAAGTTTTCACAATTGAAGCAAAATTTTAAAACTTTCTTATCGACCAAATCTTTCACTGGCATTAGCAAGAAAATAAAACAAATAAACATTGAAGCATTGTTCAATGAAATTTTAGCTTACTACAAAATTCTCCATCAAATGATACATTTACCAAATTCGATAAGTATTTCAGCGAAAATATTTTCAAGTAAAAAATGTGACAAAAAAAAGATTGTTTTTCAGTAGATTAATGTTGTTATTACTTTGTTAATCGAATTAGTATGAGAATGTTGAATATTTTATCTTATAAAATATATCGTTTTGCTTGGTATTAAGTTCTATATCCAATGGAACTGTAATGTTTTTTCTATAAATGACATATACAAATTTCAAATCACACAAGATATATTAAGATAATAATAACAGGATAAGAAAATCTTATTGATAAGAATGGCTATTTTTTTTCGTATTTTTTTCTAGAAGAAAAGTCGGAATGTTCATTTTTCATTAAATAAATAAAATTTTCTTTTTTTTTCGTTAGAAATCTGCCTCAATACTAGAAATTTGTTTTTTTTTTTGTCATTCATGAATCACTTTAAATGATAATAGCATAGTACTATTTGTACTTTATAGTTCTACAGAATCGTATCGGAATCTCTTGTTCAAATTTACGAATATGACATTATCAACATTCAGCAACGGCTTAAGAATGAACAAAAATCACAAGGGTTTTTAGTCTTTTGCAATTATGGCTAAGAAAGTTTTTGTAAATAGTTACCAATGTAATCTTCGATTGTATTGTTTAAATAAATTTCTGGATGTCTAATTAAATTCTTTGCAAGAAGATAACGAATTCGATCTACAACTGTCTATTCCTACTACTTTTGTCTAGTACAAGTGAATACAAAAACGAGCTTATTGGACTTCAGATGAACTTCGAAAAGCATATTTTGACTATAACTGTGCTTTTCATGTCGATATTCTAGATCCATCACTGCATTGGTGGAAATTCTTGAATAAGCTTTTAGGTTAGAGCAGAGGTATTTTAAGAAAGTAGCAATATTTGATGAAACTTTGACAAAGCCTTGGATTATTGCCATTGCTTTTTCAATAGAAATCAGAGTGAAATATTCATATACTTACTATCAAGCTAGTTTCTGTTAGCTGAAAAGTTGTTGTTTTCTTTCTCAAATCAATTTCACAGAACTTCTGAGGTCTTATCTTCTTCAATGTAATCTTCAATAACTATGATTTGTCCGTTCTCTCTGACTGAGTATTATTTAAAAAATATATATCTGAATCGATTTTCTTGATTGTCTTAATTGAATATGTCGTGTTAATTGATTTAAATTTCATCGATGATTGGTATAATCATTACTATTTGTATCGTCATCATCATCATCATCTTGATTAACAGAAGGATCAGGCGAAAAAAAATTTTCATGAATCATTATTTGATGAAGAGTTTGATGTACTACTTGAACTAGTCGAATATTCATATAATATGATTGGTGATTTATTGTGACTTATTTTTCTAGATTGTTTAACAAAGATTACAAAACTTTATTATTGCCTTTTATTGAAATTGATGAATGAAATAAGTTTGTATCTATAACAATTTGTTGACTTGAACTAGTATGATTTGTTGAAACTGATGATAAAACATCAGCAGTAACTTTACAAATAGGCGGACTCATATTGATTGTTGTTGATGGGTTTTTTCCCATGAGAATACAAATTGATTTGACATTACTTTTAATTTTGATTAACTATAATCAAAATACAATGGCATTTAAATAATTTCCATTGACATACTTTATGTTTACTCGACAGTTCTAAGAATAATTTTTATTTATCTAGATCTTGTTGAAGATTAATAATTCTTGGATATATTAGCACATAATGACAAAGAATATATTGTGATCTAAAAAAAGAAATGTTTTCTTTTTCGATTAGTGATACTGTTTGTTTTCATATAAAAAAAAACAAATCGTACTTGTTTAAGGTGAAATTAATGAATTTTTAGCAAAAAAATTGAAGCATAACTTGTGCGTGTCTAACACTGGTTTGTCTATATAGGCAATGTCAATACAAAAAACTATGTCTTTAATTTTGATTTTTACCTTTGTCAAGGCAAAAGAAAAATATAACATAGTAAATCAAGGAAGCACAGATGCACGCTTATGAAAAACATCAAAAAGCAATTCTTGTCTGTAAATAGTATTAAATATTTTAGAAGAATTTATTTCAAAGGTTTTTTTTTCATTGAACTAAAACTTTGATAAAATAATTCAACTTTTCTTTTCTTTTATATGTTCATGTCAAAGGACTTTACATTGAAGATAAAAGTAATTAATCTACGAGAAACAAAAAAAAACAAAGCTTGTCCACAGAAAAAATTGAATTATTCAGTTTAAATATTATTTTATTTCTTTTTTGGACAAATAAAAAGAAAACATTCAATTTTTATAACAGGAAAAAATCTTGTAGCAAAATAATAAACTTCACTGCTATTTATTTTTGCTAAAGATAGAATCGATGATTTATTTTTTTTTTTGCACTTTTTAATAAACAATCAAATGTCCAATAAAATAAATGAAGTTGATTAGTAATTGAACAGGCTGAAAACATTGCATAGTATCACCCGTGCTTTGTGACTGTCTTTCACAAACATATAGGAAAATACAGGTTTCTGTTAAAAATATATGACAAACTCTTTTTTTTTACCGGAGTATAGGTTCGAGTTTATGAAAATCAAGGAATAAAAGTTTTTTATCCAAAAATGTCGGATCAAGTGGCAGCTTGTTTTCGATTTATTCACAGGAGCTTATCAATATGCATATGAAAACAAATATAAACTAAACACAAAGTACAAAACTTAACGAAGATGAAAAACGTTGTTTATTATTTTTTCTTCAAGTTGAGTTATTTGTGTTTTTTTTGAATTCTCATATAAAACGCATACGGAGCTGAAAAAATCTTACAAAGAATTTACAAATATCTTATTGTAAGGTTCTTACAAGGTCTGATGATTTAGAATCCTGTAGGATCTTACACGATCGTATAACATCATAATTATAGACCTCACGTTTACAATTAGTTTTGATAACGATGCTTTTGTGCATTTAAATAAATATTGAAGCGATTAAATACATTTTAATATAGACAATCCTTTTTTAGCATTGCCAATACCTATAGATCGTAGTGATGATCTGTTAAAAAGTCATTTGATAGATAATTTAATCAATTTAATTGAGTATCAGTAGATTTTCTTTTGTTGGAATTTTTTCATGTTTTTATTTTAGATAATTGCAATGATCATAGCCAACAATTCTTCTTTTTGTATTTAATTTTAAGAAGACTCGTCTTCTGACTATTTTTTCGTTTTTTCATTTTTTATGCTTGTTGTATAGATTTAAATCCTCTCTATCTAATAAGCATATTTTTCGGAAAGCAAAACCATCTTTTTTGCATGTAAAAAACTCGAAAAAATTCATTTAATACTGAAAAACTCAAAAAGTGCAACTTTCTTTGCTATCTTCTGAAAGTCAGATTTTCAAACATAATCTTGAAGTTTTGCCCACTTTTTTCTTAGATATTATGATCGATTGAACTCAAATTTTTCTATCAGTATTTCAATCATACTGGAATACGAGTTATTTTTCTTGAAAACATTGTACCTTATGGATTTAGGCACATTTGGCAAAATTTGGTCCATTCCAAAAAAAAGCTCTTTTTTAATGGTTTTTTTTTGATAGCAGTTGCGATGTCTTACTTCTGCTGAGGCTCAAAAAAATTTCAGTCCTGAAAAACGTAATATGGATGCTTATGAGATGGACTTTAGGTCATTTTTAGCCCATGATCTCCGATCCCCAAGGTCTGTTGGACGAAAGCATTTGAGAATTATGAGTCTATGGCAACTTTTATTATACTCATCGAGTTTTGTCTAGTCTGATAATTTCAAAAATTTTCGTCTTGCTGCTTTCGAGATATTTCGAAAAGGATGACATCCTCTTGACAAGGCAAGATGATAGAAGCGAAAATAGAAGAAAACCAATTATGCAATCTTGTGGAAAAGCCATACATGAATCGTATAAAATTCAGCATTAAGATCATACAAGAATGGTACAGTAAGATTTTATCAGACAGGATAGCTACAAATTCAGCATATAAATGGTACAAGATCGTATAAGACTTTATACTATCTTGTATGATCATGAAATATTGTACAATAAGTTCCTATATGATCTTGTAAGAATCGTACAAGATCTTATAATCAGATAGTTGAACTTGAAGATGAGTGTGAATTTCATCATTTGTTTGATGAAAATCAATCAAAAATATAATAAATGAGAGGTAAAGAGATAATAATGAATGCCCTTTTAAAAGACAAAGAAGTATGACTCATGCATTCAATCATGTAATCATTAGTTAAAAACAATGAAATAAAGCGAGCCACAATCCATGTGAAAAATTAAACGAAATGACTCGACTTCGACAATGTCAAGTTAGACTTATTGGAGGACAAACATCGTTTAAAACGATACATCTTAGTTCATTTCATTATATTCTAAGTTAGTTTGTGTAAAACGAAAAAAATGGAACGTCAACGTGATCTTAATCTGGTTTTCTTGCTATCGATAATGGCTGCCGACCATCATTAAGACAGGCTGTTCCTGAAGATAGCAGTTTAATCTCAGGTACATCTCTAGTTTAAGCACACTTTCATTGTTTACGAACCTAAAGACAGAACAAAAAAGATTAGAATAATAAGCACATTCAATATGAATAAAGTTAGAGTTTATTCAGAACAGATTTTCTGTATGAACGAACGACAATGAGATATATTAATTTGATAGATTTGTAAAGGCAGAAATTTATATCAAAAGAAGACAGTAAGGATTCATTAACCATTTGGTAGCGGAGCCCGTAAATTTACGGTTTCAAAATTGAGTTAGAGAAAAACGTGCTAAATTTTACAAAAACAGGTTTTTCTCGTATACTTTGTCCCTAAAGATACCTGTTGTTAGTAGAGACTTTATGCACTAGTGCTTTACGCAGTATACCAGATTCTAAACCAACTAGACTTCTAGATACTTTCTTTCTCTTGTACCTCAAACAACTGACAGAAAATTTCTCAGAGAATTTGTATTGTATGTGCTCATACATTGAGAAACCAGCCAAAAAAGCGAATAGATTCGCATTGTACGTGTAAAGATTGCGAAGTCGTCCTTTGTGTGATCGACTGCTTTGACAAATTTCAGACTTTATTGCTTCTTTTTATTTCTTTTCGTATGCTACATGTTAGTTATGACAGAGGTTTTCTGCATTTGTTTCGCTTTTGTTATTCGAAAATAAACCAAGTATATCTTCAAACCCAGACTCAGTAGAAAAATGATGATCTTAAGCAATATTCGAAGTATAATGAACCTTGACAATTAAATTTCATTTTCTTTTCTAGAAAAGCCGCCGTCAAATAGTTAATAGCAAAGAGAAAGCATAGAAAACAAGATAGCTGTAATTGAAACTAATTAAAAACTTACTTACAAAAATGTATGTGTAGACGAAAATTTGATGCTCGACCTTCACAAAGGATACTTTTACGAAAAAATACATTTTTTGTTTTAAATTATTCGTTCACATAAGACAATTCTTTTTTATAAAGGACATCTAGTCTGAATATAATTACTACAAATCTTAATACTTCTGTGTTGTCTTTATGAAGATAAATAATGAAGATGTGTTTAGACTGAAAACGTATGGTACATGATGGTTTGAATTCGGATTTATCTATAGTCATAACTAATTTATTTTTCGCGATTTATAAAGAATAATTCACATCTGGCTATTACAATTGTTATTTGTTAAGTGATTCACATATTCCATTTTTACATCATTAAGGTGATTAGGGTGTGCTTGAGAATATTTCTATGAATGATATAGTATCTATTATCTTAAAAAATCGAATTTTCGATTATTTCAATGTTAGTGATGAAAAACAGCATTTATTTGATCAAGGTTATCGTTTTGACGATATTGACGCTGTTACTGCTCATAATAATGAATTTGATCATGACAATAGAAGATGTATTGATGATTTACATGAAGGTCAGATTATTAAAGTGTAGGAACATTTTAATGGCGATACTATGTGGATCGATCCAATATGATATTACAGAAGGTACAGACAACGCACTTAACGATACGAACAATTTTTTGAATGAAAACTTTATCTTCGATGTAGTTAGACGTTAATGTCTTTAGTTTTTTTTGTAGTGTTTTTTGTTATAGTAGGTACTAAAGTTATTCTAGCTATAAAGGTAGGTATAGTTATCACTGAATTTATTATATTATAAAATCGAAACTAATATAGTATTTTTTAGTGTTACTTATTTCTACTGAAATAGATGATGATTTAATTTTCAGATATTGTTGTTATTATGACACTATACATTTTTTAGGTTAGTGTTGTTTTAGCTTTGTTACATCGTTAAATGTTTGTAGTGCCAAGACTGATTGTTTGTGTTGGTCATATTGAACATTGACAACTTGCAGAGCACTACGTAGATCTGTACTGACAGTCATTAGCTCGCTTTTGTTCTGATGCTAATTGAGCAATGGATTGGCTGGTTGATAGTTTTTAGTTGAAACTTGATTGTTTGTTCACATGTCAGCTGTTCACTCGTTACGCCCTAAGAGATGAATCTTGTTTTTGTTTTGGAATATT